GTACAAAATAATTGAAAGCCTTTAATACCACAGGGCAGATGAAGTTAAAATCACGCCAATGTGTTTGTACTGTTTGAGTGCCTCAGTTTTTTCCTACTTTATGATTTAGCTTTTATTTTTTATTGAATCGTATCAAATCAAAAGCTCACTGTATCGAGGTATGTATCGTATCAACATTCCCTGGGGGTGTGGTGCTAACTGTAAACTCTGCTGTGGCTTTATTGGACTTTCATATGAGTTTTGTTTTAACACAATCTGACCAGAAAGAGCTGTCTTGGATGGAGCTGATTTGTGCGCTAAAACCATGGAAGTATAATCAAATCTGGACGGTGCCTATGTTCCCTCAGCCCTGTGTTCTCTCATTTCTAAGTTAGTTTTTTGTTTTTTTCTTTTCTTTCCAAAATTAGGCCCTTTGTTCCCACATTTCCTTTATCATGAATTTGCATCGGAATTTCTCCCAATATAATTTGGTCGTGAATTGCTGTACACTCAACCTATTCTCCAGCAGCACTTGACTACAGATGTAAAGTAGACGTCATGGTGCCAAGGATCCGAGGTTGAAATGACTCTGAATCATCGCTTTAAATGCAGCATAAAAATAAAATGACTTGACTTAGAGTTAAGTTTGAGAAAAATCGTAGAAATAAGAAAAACTTAAAATAAGGGAATATAGGGCTGGCCTCCAACGGGTTCAGAGTGAGGCTAAGTTAACTCTTACAAAGCAAATTTTTAGGCACTTTGACGATATGGAAATACAGAAGAATCCCTACAAAATCCAACCTTTATGAAAGCTGGACGCCCTGCCAACTTTGGTTACACGCTGCTATTCCGACATGTTTAGACACTGACGTCTAATTGTCTAAGTTGCAGCATAAAGGTTATTATTATTTTTTATTCATAACGTAAACTCTTACCAATTTTACCAGCTTGTAAACACAAAGCTATTTACTGCTTTTTATAAAGAAATACAATTCATATTGTGCAGAATTGAGTTTAGCATTTTGGCTCAGCCCTCCACAATATTTTGGACCCATGGAAAAAAAATAAAATCGCCCACCCCTGGCTCGGACTGATCACACTCTCCTGAAAACCTGCTCTTTAAACCCATTTTGTAATTTTTTTCTTGAGTTTTAAAACCGTTTTCACCGTATTTATTAATGTGTGCACTGTGTCGCCATGGTAACATCTGAACATCCCGCCAATGGAGATGCATGTAGAACCCCCCCCAGAACAAAGTATCCGTAGAGAAACTTTGTGTTATAATGTGCGTCCCCAGGTCAGAGCGAAGACGAGGGTTCAGCAAGAATTATAAAAGTACATTTGTTATAGTGGAAAGACATGGGATTAAAAAGTGTAGAGATGCACAGACGATAACTGTGTCGACAGCAGCCCGAGGAGTTTGAACCTGAACTGTGCAAAAGAAACAAAAAAAGAAGAACCGTCTCCAAAGGCCTGAGAATATTCACCGAGCAGAGAACAATATAAAGACTGTAGCAGGTTTCTGTATGCACATTCATTAGGCCCATAGACGGTAGAAAGAAAGTGTGATTTCACCCAGAGGATTCAGCTCCAGTCAAATGAAGCTCACCATGGCCTGCGGGTAGAGGAGCTGAGTTCCATATTAGGAATAGGAATGGATTTATGGACAAAATATTGAAATAAAAACACCAGGATCATGTAGAACAGGTTTATATGGACATTTTAAGACCAGAACGAGGAGCTGAACTGGACAGAACTATTGAAATGATCTGTTTTCTCATTATTATTACACAATCACAAATTTCCAAAGATCCACCAACAACTCAACTAACAGTCTGACATTTCGGATTTAAGGATTTTGATCACTTTATTTTGAAGGTCCTATAGAGTCCCTTGCCACTCTACTGCACATGTGGCCTGCATAAAACTATAATCACATCTAAAGGTGAACCCAAGATGTCGTTGTGTTGTTTTCAGTGGCCTGTGCTCATTTAATCTGATTCATCAGCCGGTTTCATTTCGAGGAAACCGTGTAACCTCGCAGCATTAGGATTCGTTCACTCAACAGTAGGCAGGTACTTTTTTTATTTAACTAATCGCTGCTGTTTGGTCGTGACGTTTGTAATGCACCAAATCCTGTAGGAAGAAGGACAATAACGTCTTTCCTCTTGATAACATTCTCTTTGTTCAGGCTTTAATCCTCGATCTCGGGAATCGTCGCCAGCACAGAATATTTATCTTCGTCTACATCCATCTTGACGCTTTGTTTACTGTTGTGTTGTTCCACAAAATGGACACAGACAGATGCCACAAGTTTGACGTCATGACTTCACAGCTGATTGGACGGTGCGTCGTCTACAACCTCCAGGGTTCTTACACATTGTCTAGTGTATTCTGATTCCTGACCTAGTCACTGGAGAGAAATGAAATTGAGCAGAGGCACTAGGTGGCACCAGTGAAAACGTCAAGCCAATTGTAGCTCTTACACAACATAATTTAGTAAAATATACCTTAAAATACTCTTGGTGATATATCGATACAGCCGTCCACGATACTAGTTCAATGAGATTCATTTGGTCTTCCGATATTTTATGTTATTAGGTTCTTTTTGCAGACCTAGAGTTTTGTTTCATACCTGACAGTTTTGACTGCTCACTAGCGCTCTTCCTCAGAGTCACGGGATGTTGCACACCTGGGATACTGTCCTGAGGAAGTCGGACTGCAGGTGGCACTGTCTTCCTGCCTCCACTGGTAGGAAGACAGCGCCAAAACCTGTTTAAATCAGCTGACTGGACATGTCACAGCAACATCCCGTGACTCTGAGGAAGAGCGCTAGTGAGCAGTCAAAACTGTCAGGTATGAAACAAAACTCTAGGTCTGCAAAAAGAACCTAATAACATAAAGCCCACGATACTGATACTGTATCATCCCACTCCTCACTGTTCCCACTCGTTTTTGGGCTCATTGTTGTTGTTGTTATTATTATTATTTCTGCTATGATTTCATTAATGTTTTATGTTCCATTATAAAAGAATGTAAAATTATTACTTGCCCAAAATAAGTACTTAAATCTCAATCATCAAATTAAACGACACCATATATAGATATTTCAATATTTTTGCACACCCTAGTGCTGATAAACTACGACGGAGTATAAGGGTCAGATAAAAAAAAATTTTAAATGCTGAAGCTACGAGAATAAAGGTCTGGAACCAAACCAGAACAAAGACCAGGACTGAGACCGGGACCAGACCAGGACTGAAAACCTTTTAATCCTGCTTTAGTCCTGGTTTAAGTCACGGAAATGGGAAATGGCGTTTCCGTGACTTTAAAATGCGATGCGGGACTATTGCGCCGCATACGGACTGAACCAGGACTGAACCAGGACTGAACCAGGACTGAATCAGGACTAAACCATTTTCAGTCCCGGTCTGGTCCCGGTATCACGGTTTGGTCCTGGTCTGGTCCCGGTCTCGGTCCCAGTCTCAGTCCTGGTCCTGTTCCCGGTCTCAATCCTGGTCTCAGTTCTGGTCTGATCCTGGTCTCAGTCTTGGTCCCAGACTCAGTCCATGTCTGGTCCCGGTCTAAGTCCTGGTCTCAGTCCCTGGTCTGGTCCCAGACCTGGTTCAGTCCTGGTTCAGTCCGGAGGCACAAATAATGAAGAAAATTGTGTTGTTTTTTTTTTTGTTTTCTTATTTTTGGTTTTAAATTGAAAAACAAGGTTCTTCTGCTGCATTTTTCACTTTGACTTTGATTTTATTACGACATTCTCTTAATATTATAACTTTATTCTCATAATATTACAATTTTATTTATCAACTTTATTCTTGTAAAATTATAACTTTATTCTCGTAAAATTACAACTTTTTCTGGCTTCGACTTTATTCTCTTAATATTACAACTTTAATGTTGAAATGTTACGACTTTATTCTCGTAGCGCCAGCATCATTTTATTTAATTTTTTTTTATCTGACTCTTAAAACAAATAAACTAATTGGTCGATATGACATAAAATTATCTCAATGTGCATTTTTGTGCATTAAACATGTGTAAATAAAACAAAACACAACTCCAGCTCTGTTTGTGACGAGGAAACGACATTAGAACTCGAGCGACCGACCTGTCCTCCATCACGGATGAGAAAAAGAGCGTTCAGACTTAAACCCGCGCGATCAGAAAGCTCAAATCAATCCAAGGTTTTATCGAACGTAACCGCCGCCATCTTGGGTTTGTTTCATGCTTGAATTTTCCTAAAAACACGTGCATCTGTAAAGCCTCAGAGAACGAGTGCAAGGCCGATTGTTGAGCTTCAGACCTCCTCCTCCTCCTCCTCGTCTTCCTCTGTCCCGGGATGAGAGGCTGCCCCGGGGCGCTCCTCTCCTGGGTGGCTCCCCCTGTGGCGCTGCCTTGTTGTGGATGGAGCGGTTGTGATAGCGAGGCCTTTTAAAGATAAACCCTGGAACATTTTATCGTCTGTGGTCCCTGAAGTGAGGCCCGCCACGAGCCTCACACGAGCGCAACCAGAAAATGTGGTGAGATAGAAAACCTCCTGAAGCAGATCCAGCCGAGTGTGTGTGTGTGTGTGTGCATGTTGTGTGTGTGTGTGTGTGTGTGTGTGTGTGTGTGGTGAGACATGCTAAGAGCTTTAAGTGCACAGCAGAAGAGAATGAGACAAGACAATAAAACCTGAACGAGGAAAGAACGGGAGAGTGCAGGTTTGGTTGTTCGGTTAAATGCCGTCACTCTCGACACTGATGTCTAATTGCCGGAGTGACGGAGTTTACATTTTTTATCCAACGTTATCCTGCACTCTGACTTTTTTTTTTTCTTGGTCAGAAAGGCGGCACTTTAGCTTTTTTTTTTCCTCAACATTCCTCCATTCCGACACACAAGGGAATTATTAAGTAGCTCTGTTCAGGACAATATTTTCACAGACTGGCGGCGTAGGAGGTGCGGTTTAGACCTAGATTTTAGTCCTGGTTTAGTCCTGGTTTTAGTTCGGTTTTGGAGGTGCGGCCCACTCAACGTAAGGGAGGAGGCATAGTCCATGTGACGGACGCAAGAAGACATGGTCCACGCAGCGTATGGGAGGAGGCACGGTTCATGCAACGTACACGAAAAGACACGGTCCATGCAGTGTACGGGAGGAGGCGCAGATCATGTGGTGTACGCGAGAAGACACGGCCCACGCGGCATATGGGAGGAGGTTCGGTCAACACAGTGTACGCGAGAAGACACAGTCCACATGGCGTACGGGAGGAGGCGTGGTCCATGCGACGTACATGAAAAGACACGGTCCACACGGCGTACGGGAGGAGGCGTGGTCCATGCGACGTACATGAAAAGACACGGTCCACACGGCGTACGGGAGGAGGCGTGGTCCATGCGACGTACATGAAAAGACACGGTCCACACGGCGTACGGGAGGAGGCGTGGTCCATGCGACGTACATGAAAAGACACGGTCCACATGGCGCACGGGAGGAGGCGTGGTCCACGCGGCATACGGGAGGAGACACGGTCCACGCGGCGTATGCAAGAAGACACAAGCCAGACGGCATACGCAAGAAGACACGGCCCACAAGCTGTACAGGAAGAGGTGCGGTCCATGCGGCGTATGCGAGAAGACATGGTCCATACGGTGTACGTGAGAAGACACGGTTCACATGAGAAGACACGGTCCATGCGAGAAGACAGGGGCCACGTGGCGTACGGGAAGAGGCGCTGTCTATGCTGCATATGAGAGAAGACACGTCCACACGACGTACGCAAGAAGACACGGGCCAAATGGTGTATACAAGGCAAAAAATGTGATGCTCCAAAATACATGTAGGTTGTAAAAATGTCAACAAATGTCGGAATAGGGGGCATGTCGGAATGGAGGGTTGTTGGAATTACAGATATTTGCACTGTGCTGTAAACGTTTACATGATCGAGGAATTAATTTGGCCTTAAAATCTGAATAAACCACACACAGGATTAAGTGAACTTCGTGTGTGAAGTGACATTGTGCATTGTGCTGCGAGCTCGGGCCTAATGATAATAAAAATAATAAATAATAACATGACATCACAAGGTTTTCAGTTTGAGAGAAGAACTCAGCCTAAATGTGCAGGGTTTGTGCGTTAAACATGTGAATGAAACAAAACACAACTCCAGCTCTGTTTGTGACGAGGAAACGGTAGAACAGATCAGAAAATGGTGTATTCTGGGCCTTTAAACATCTAAAGTAAAACATCAGCCTTTCTAAAGTCGTACAGTAAACAGCCGAGGTGCTTTTCCGAGCGCTGCGGTGCGAGAGGAGGTACCAGGCTCCGAGACGGAAATCTGTTCTGACGGGAGGAAGGTGCCCACGGCGAACAGGAGACGTGTTAATACAGAGATGCATTAGTGCGCTCACGCGGGCGCCTGTAATCACAGACGACACCTGAACGCACCGCCGACTGCTGCTCACCGCTGGAGCTTAAAGAGAGAGGAAGTCCGGGCTCAGGTGTGTGGGTTTAGATCTCACTGAAACAATCAAACGATTAAAAAAGGAATTCTGTTGGTTTTCCTCGCCCCATTTAAAGAACCTACATTACAATATTTTCTGTTCTAATGTCGTTTCCTCGTCACAAACAGACCTGGAGTTGTGTTTTGTTTCATTCACACATGTTTAACGCACAAACTTGCAGATTTAGACTGAGTTCTTCTCTCTCAAAAAATGTCCTAAGTGATACTGTCTTTTTTAATCTTTAATTATTTATTGCTACTTTTGCACTGAACATGAACTGCACTTCATATTTCTTTGTATCTGTTACATGAGAGCTTTAATTCCAAATAAAAATAATAAATACATAAATACAATTCCACCTTTAAAAAGACCATGTAAACGTTGAAGTCCTAATGAAAATGATGATTTGTAATTAAATTTAATTCCAAAGTAAGTGAGTGGTTTATTCCCATTTTAAAGCTGAATTAATTTATTCCTGGATCATGTAAACGTTTATTCTTCTTAAAAATAATGTCGGTGGTTCGGAGCGTTGGTTGGTTGGCGCTCGTTGGGTCGTCTTTATGACGCGATGACGTTCTATAAGATGGCGTCCAGAGCAAACGTTGGTCTCAAGGTTTTTTTTTTTTAATAAAGATGATTAAACGTGTTTTCCATGTAAACTCAAAGGAGAATATTTTCATTCAGAACGATTAATTCGGAATTAAAAAATGTCATTAACTTCATGTAAACATGGCCAATGACAAATAAAAATAGTCTATTCGATATTCTATTCTGTTCTATTCTCAAACTGAAAATACTCTCTTCCACCTTGTGACGTCAGGCAGTGATACAGGAAGTGCTCCACTGTGTTTTTAAACTCCACACACCTTCACTAGAATCATTTGGACGATCTCAGACTTGGAATTTCCGATCTAAACCACGAAGCAAAAGCTCAAGTGTAGCATTTCACTTGAAATCTACCACTTCATGACATCACAAGGTGGAACAGAGCACTTTGAGCTTTGGAGATGTAAACAGACTAATAATAAAGAGTTACTCCAACATGTGAATGAAACAAAACAAAATCTGTGTGTCATTCGTTCATTTGTTTTTCAATCTAAAACCAAAAATAAGAAAATGAAAAAAACAACTATTTTCTTCATTATTTGGCTCCAAAACCAAATTTTTGTGTTTAAATGAAAAATGGAAAAAAACAGATTACAGCCGTTTCCCGTTCCCAGGACTGAACCAGGTCTAAACCAGAACTAAACCAGAACCAAACCAGGATTAAACCAGGACTAAAACAGGACTGAACCAGGTCTAAACCAGAACCAGGACTAAAACAGGACTCTAAACCAGGACTGAAACCAGGACTAAACCAGGACTAAACCAGGTCTAAACCAGGACTGAACCAGGTCTAAACCAGGAACTAAACCAGGACTAAACAGGACTAAACCAGGACTAAACCAGGACTAAACCAGGACCAGGACTGAAACCAGGACTAAAACCAGGACTAAACCAGGACTAAACCAGGAAACTAAACCAGGATAAACCAGGACTAAACCAGGACTAAACCAGGACTAAAACAGGTCTAAACCAGGTCTAAACCAGGACTAAACCAGGTCTAAACCAGGACTAAACCAGGACTAAACCAGGACTAAACCAGGACTAAACCAGGACCAGGACTAAACCAGGACTGAACCAGGACTAAACCAGGACTAAACCAGGACTAAACCAGGATAAACCAGGACTAAACCAGGACTAAACCAGGACTAAACCAGGACTAAACCAGGACTAAACCAGGACTAAACCAGGTCTAAACCAGGACTAAACCAGGTCTAAACCAGGACTGAAACCAGGACTAAACCAGGACTAAACCAGGACCAGGACTAAACCAGGAAACCAGGACTAAACCAGGACTAAACCAGGTCCAGGACTAAACCAGGACTAAACCAGGTCTAAACCAGGACTAAACCAGGACTAAACCAGGATTAAACCAGGACTAAAACAGGACTGAACCAGATCTAAACCAGGACTAAAACAGGACTAAACCAGGTCTAAACCATATTCAATCCTGGTCTGGCCCCGTCTCACTCCTGGTCTCAGTTCCGGTCTCAGTCCTGGTCTCATTCAGGGTCAGGTCCTGGTCTGGTCCCGGTCTCAGTCCCGGTCTGGTCCCGGTCTGGTCCTGGACCTGTTTTAGTCCTGGTTCAGTTCGGCATCTCAGTTTAAGTCACGTAAACTGGAAACGGTCATTATCAGTTTTTTCCATTTTTCATTTAAACTCAAAATCGAAAACTGAAAAAAGAATCATTATCTGTTTTTTTTATTTTGGTTTTGGAGACAAATAATGAAGAAAATTGTTGTTTTTTCATTTCCTTAGTTTTGTTTTTATTTGGAAAAACAAATGAATGAACGACACACAGATTCTCCAGGTTTGTTTTCGAGGAGGAAACATTATAACGCGACTAAAACGCTCTGTAACGTCTTATATATAAAACTGATTCATAAAAACTCACAGGAGTCAGTTTTACGTAACACTTTCCCTTTTCCGATTTAACAAAACATGAATCTGATCCGTGGGTTTTTTAATGGATCGGAGCTGTTTCCAGGGCGTATGGAAAAGCCTTAAACACGTGTCTGGAGCTGTTACTTCTGCAGCGCCGCTCTGTTCTGTTAATCCAATATTAATGTCTCTGATTAGCCTAATCTGTGCTCGCATATTCACGAGGAGCGCCTAACGGAGGTCAGAGGTCACCGCGAGGAACGCCCGAGACGTCAGAGAAAACCCACCGCACCGCGCCAGACACATGTCCATGATTCTGTTGAAGGTTTTATTTAATATAGTTTCGGGTATTTTGTTTGTCTTATAAGAAAAATATGACACAAACTAAATGGAACAGGAAGAATATTAGAGGCAGTGACTTTAAAACTGTCTCAGCAAAATAAATGAGCAAAGATGAGGAAGTTTTGCGCTGGATATGGACTAAACCTGGACTAAACCTGGACTAAACCAGGACTGAACCAGGACTGAACCAGGACTGAACCAGGACTAAACCAGGACTGAACCAGGACTGAACCAGGACTGAACCAGGACTAAACCAGGACTGAACCAGGACTAAACCAGGACTGAACCAGGACTGAACCAGGACTGAACCAGGACTGAACCTGGACTGAACCAGGACTGAACCAGGACTGAACCATAAACCAGCTGAACCAGGACTGAACCAGGTCTAAACCAGAACTGACCCAGGTCTAAACCAGGTCTAATCAAGGACCAAAGCAGGCCTAATCTTGGACTAGAACTTGGAAGCGCCTTGCAGACAGGGTTTCTGCTCAGCTCGATCGGGTGTCGGCTCTTCTTCGCCTCGTGGAGTGTGGAGTTCTGCGTCGGTCCTTTCGCTCGCGGTCACCTGACGGTCTACGTGGGCATGTCTCTGGCGTTTCTCCGCTGCTGATATCGCCGTGATTTTAACGAATTTGCATGAAGAAAAACGAAAAACCCACCACTTCAGTCCACGTTAAAAAAAACATTGTGACACGCTTTACTCACATTTGTACACAGTAAAATATTACAGTTTTTCTCCCGTAAGGCCACATTATTATACAGTAATTTGTTACTTTTATATCACATTACTCCCAACACTGGCAGTGAGCGCGTAGAGTCAATAACCTGAAAGCCGATGGTTCAATACTCGCCGTGTCCTTGGGCAAAGCACACCCCCCCCCATGTGTCTGAAAGTCTTGCATCAGTGTGTTAAAGGAGCCGTATTACACTGTTTTCTGATGTTTACTTACAGACCTGAACTTGTGTTTTGTTTCATTCACATGTTTGAATAACTTTTTATCTAGATCAGGGGTGTCAAACTCATTTTTGTCCGGGGGTCGTATCCAACCAACTTTGATCCCAAAGTGTCCGGATCAGAAAACTCATGTCATATAAACCCCAAAAATAACAATAAGTTCAAATATTTGTGCAGAGAAACACAAATCTATTACAGAAATCTTTTTTAATTGATGAACTCTTTTTTTTACAAAATATTATAATATTATGAACAACCTGAAACTTTAAGAAAAATGAATTCAATTTGTTTAACACAATGTTTTAACATGAACTTGTCTGTAAATAGGAGGTCCAATTTTTGTTGTAAAATCCTGCACTCGGCTCCACTTTTCTCATGTTGGACATTTTTCTGATGAGGGTGTCACGGTCAACAGTCAAAACGATCGTCCTTTAAGAGCGTTTGGAAAGAGACAAGTCTTCATTTGTGCTGCTCTGGTGGGAGGGGCCACGTACAGAGACACTGGAGACGCTGCTGTGATAAACACCACAGAAAATACAAGATTTTAATAGAAAATATCATTCAAATATTTTAGTAGAAAATCAGACGAGGGCCAG